TGGCACACAACTGAGCAATGAAAAAAGAATGAGGAAAAGCTCTATGCTGATTGGTAGGATAAATTATCTGTTAAAAGCAAAGTGCAAAACAGTATATACAGCATACTACCTGCTGCCTCAGAAAGAAGGGGAAATAAAGTTCTCATAAATGGGCTTATTTATACAAGAAATTCAGTAAAAGCGAATCAAAAAACAATAAAACTGGCTATCTACAAGGCATTCTGAACAAAGGGGAGAAGTTTCAACTTTCAAAAGCATGTTAGTTTATAAGCATTCCTGTATATAATGGAATGGAAATGAATTTAAACAGAAACACATGAAACCAAATATTTCAAATAAATGCTATTACTGTAAAGAGGGGAGAAATAACAACAACAAAAATCTAACCTAAAAAATTTTTCAACAGTTGCCAACCACATACCCTTAGTATAAGAAAATCTCATGCTGAATTCTTCATTTTATGATTGTTTTCTACAGAAGTATGGGAGTAGAAATTCTGAAAATTATAGGACTGAGCAAAAATCATAAACCTATGATAACACCAGGAGTCAGGGTTCTCAATGTGGAAGAAGAGAAATATAAATTCAGAAACAAAAAAGAAAAGAAAGCACTCAGATTGGAATGAAATTAGAAGTACAAAATTATGATTCCTGGAATATTTATACATTCATTTAAATTTCATCCACTGAAAAGATCTGGAAGCAAAGGTACTCAGTAGTTACACCACATATAGCACCCAAATCAGAGTTTCTAAATATTATTCCAATTAACCAGGGCTCCTTGGACAAATGGCTGATTCTAGGGTGAGGAAGGAAGGTAAATCTCTAAAGTAATTTGGTGACAGAAAGCCAATCTCAATGACGAGATTCAGTACAATTTGAGAGGCAAGAAAAGTTCTTAAACATAAAACAGAAATCCATGACTCCAAACCAATCATAAATGTAGACATGCATGGACAGAAGTAAAAGGAGGGCTCTCTCTCATAATGAAAATTTTTACAGGGAATACTAGAATTGGAAAATTTTTATGATTTTGTAACCGTCAAAGACTTATGCAAGAATAATCAATAGATGCCAAATCTAGGGGCGCAATTTAATGAGGCTTCCAGATATCTGCATGACCTTCTAGTGTCTCCCCATAGATAGCTTGTTAATTGCAAGAGGAAAAATAACAACTATATACTGAAGAAGCCAGATGACACTTGGACCAGTTGACCAAAATTAACCACTAATAAAGGTCAGACAGATACAGGTCTCTAGACATGCTATCTTATAAAGGGTACACATAAATAATATTCTAGCCAAAAATGCATCACTTGAATCAGAAACTCAAATTGAAGAACATTTCATAAACAACTAGCCTATTTTTCAAAATGACAATATTATGAAAGAGAAAAGCTGAGGTTATGTTACAAATTAAAGGAGACTAAGAGACATAACTAAATGCAACTTGATATCCTTAAGCAGCTCTACCTCTGAGAAAAACAAATGGGATAAAAGACATCAGTGTTACTGGAACAGTTGACAAAATAAGAAAAAGGGCTATAAAATATAATCACTATTAAATTTCCCACATTTAATAAATATACTGTGGCTACAGAAGAGAATATCTTTGTTCTTAAAACAGAAAAGGATTTTATGCTAACTCTAGAGAGCTTTGGGAAATTAAATTGACAGAACCTTAGTAGAAAAAAATTCATTTCAAATGGAATGCAATAATATACAATATTAAGGAAAAACATCCTCCAAAATCCAAACTATTACTTTAATTAGGCTTGGATGACAAATTAACTCTCTCTGGGTCACTGTTTTTAATGTAATTTTACACTTTTGTGAAACTTATAGAAATAGGAAAGTTATACAAGGTATGCTACAATGTAAAAGAATGTTTAGTACATTATTTACAACAAATAATAGCCAAACTCTAAAATATATTTTTATAAGAATATATTGTTAAGCAAATTTTGATATATCTACTCTGCAGAATATAACACAGGAAGAATAAAGCACAGACAGTCCCCAACCTACAATGTTCAATTTAACAATCATTCAACTTTGGTGCCAAAAAAATAGGTCTTCAGGAGAAATCATACTTCAGATTTTAATCTTTTCCAGGTCTAAGATTATGTTGCATATTGTTTTACGCTGTTAGTGGCATAAAGCTACAGCTTCCAAAGCTACAGGTACATAATCACAAGGGTAAAAGTAAATTATGATGCCAAGCTATGACATTTTTTTGGATTTTTTTCAAAATAAGTTATTTTATTTTGGCAGGTAGTAGTATTAAATACATTTTCAATTTTCTTCAATTTATAATAGGTGTATCAAGATGTAACCCCATTGTAAATCAAGGAGTACAAAAATATGTTTATACTATACGATATAATTAGGATTAAAAAAAAAAAGCTGGGACTGGGGGTGTGACCCAGTGGTAAAGCCCTTGCTATATTCCACAATATTTATTAGGTTGCCTGGGTTCAACCCCAGCACTACAAAAGGAAAAAAAAAAATGCTGATATATCTATCTGTATGAAAAATTAGAATTGTGTTAATGTGTTTATGTATGTGCCCAGAAACAAAGGCTTAAGGATGCATGGAAAATGTTACCAGTGATTGTCCCAGGGAGAAAAAGAATGTGGGGAAGGGCATTACTTAAAGAATTTTTTTTCCCTAAAAGATTATGAACCATTTTTACAATTAAAAAAAAAAGTTTTACTCCTGGAACTCAAAATTAAAATGTATTTGATAAAACAGATTTGAGTAGAGAATGTAAACTATAACTCTGATAATCAGAAATATGAATATAGTCTTGATACTTAGCTACAACATCATATAATTTTCTGTTTAAGCACATTTGTTCTATCAAGTTTACATTTTTCATTTTTAAACTACCAAAAATAACAACTCCTTTTTGGAGATAGTTAAGATATCAAACCTAAAATGGAAAAATCTGGCCATGTAATGATAGGAACAAAAATTAAAAAACAATACAAAAACAAATATTCACACAATATCCTTAACAAAGTTTACAGAGAATTACTTCAGTTGACAGACCAAAGTCCGATTAGCAATGTACTTTAAACTGTAAGTGATTCATGATAGTGCAGAGACATAATGAACTTTGAATTACTATGTTATTCATTTTATGAACAGGGAAGACTATCATCATATAGGTGACCTTTCAAAATACTAATAGATGCATGACTCTGTAAGTACCAGAGAATTAAATTCCACAATATTTATTAGGTTGCCAGCACCCTTATCTTTGAAGAACTGTATTATGGTGATACAAAGACAGTTCCTTGTCAAAAAAACCTTAATAGAAAAAAGGTTTATTTTAAATTGAATACAATAATAAACAATATTGAGGAAAAACATCCTCCAAAATGTAAACTGCTACTTTAATTAGGAAATTTGAGTGACAAATCAACTCTTTCAGTCACTGTTTATAATGTAATTTCAAGTCACCATAATTAATTTTTTACTAATCTCACGTAACTCTAATAAGAACACTATTACATACTTTGATAAGCAGTGATTATGTTCTTAAGTAACAATCTTCATAGAGATCGTTTTTATTTATGTTGGGATTTTGACTTTTTCCCCCTTTGCATGTAAGTTGGGCTCTAGGACCCTTAGGTAAACAATCTTTTAGCCCTCTATCTAAAATATTATTAGGAATAGTATCATCACAATTTATTAATATAAATGAGTAAGTAAGTCTCTATTAACAGAGACTCCATGGGTACACTCAAACTCTCATACACAGATATGACCCATAGGAGGAAATGTCTACGCTAAGCACCTTAAGTACTGTTTCCTAACTTGATGTACTAACAGAGCAGTCAATTGTCATTCTTTCAACATTTCATGAGTGTAATTGAGTCCCAGTCTGTGTACTTTCTGCAAGTACAGAACAATTTAAAAAACAATAGTCCAAGGAAAATCCCAGGGTATCACATGGTAACACATAGTAGCTGTATGACTTTAGGTGTATCACTTAACCAGGCTTAACCTTAGTCATTGGTCTAAAAATGTCCTTATTACTTACCAACCTAAACCTGAATCATTATACCAGCAAAAAACAAACAGTCTCTAGTGGTTGTTCCGGGTCAAAGATCTGCAATACTCACGTACTCATCTATCAGATTCTTCACGTAATCATGGCTCTAGAAACCACTGTTGAGTAAACTAGGTGAATTACAGTTCCTAAATTGAGATAAGCTTCATATTATCCTTTAAAAGTTGTGAACTTACAAAATGTATTACAGAGGCCATGCTAGTTTTATGAATGTTTCATCTGTGCATCATTCTAGCAGGGTGTATTTCCTACCCTGAATCCGAGTTTCTGCACTACTGGAACCACGCCTCCCAGAGAAATCCAGGAGACAGACAGACAGACACCTACACACACACACACACACACACACACGCGCACGCACGCACCCCATCAAGGGACAAGGAGGCAGAGATCCTGGTTAAGCCAAGCAAGCTTCCCGGGGGTTCGAGGGAAGGCCTTGTTTTTTGTTTTTTTCCCCCTCCAGCTATGCAGCTGCACCCAACTGAGAAGCACTAGATTAGCATCATCTGCATTTCATTCCTTTTCTTTTGCAATAGCTACTCGCCTATAATAAACAGATCTTGCGCTCGAGGGAGAATTCACTTCCCCGTCCAGTAAAATTGAAGTTCCTTATTTTTACTAACAACACCGTCTCCAACGAACACCCACCCTCCCTGGGGAGACCGGACACGCCTTTCTCCGTCGCCCCTCCAGTAAGCTTGAGCCTCACACCCTAGAAATAGCCCCACTTTCCGAGCCCCTTTCTGCACCGGTAGCGAGGCTCCCACGGAGGGCGGAAGAGGCCAGGGGTGCGGCGTGCAGCCCTGGGTGCGGAGTGGGGGGTTGTCCCAGCACCGTTGTGAGCGCCAGGCTGCCTCGGTTGGCCACGGAGCTCGTGGAGACAGAAGGGTAGCTGGAAGCCCCGCGCCACCCTCACTTACCCACTTTGTCCTTTCCGTACATGTGCCCGGCCACCTGATGCGACAGGGGCACGCAGCCGTTGAGGAAACGCAGCCTGCCGCCCGCTGGTTGCGGGGCGCCTTCGGGGGCGGCATCGCTCACCGGTGGGGTCCGCATCTCTGGGACGCCGGGCGCCTCGAGCCGGAGGGGGGATGGCGGCTCTGTTGCCATAACCGTGTGCACAAGCGGTAACGGTGGCGAAAGGAGGAAAAATAGGGAGTAGGGAGCGAGTGCCTGAGAACCCGGGGGTCGCTCAGGCTCGGCCGCGAGGAGGCCTGGGGGTTCCCGCGGCTGGTGCCCGCTGAGGCCCGGGAAGGGGGCCCATGACGCCGCGGAGGCGCGGGTGCTCCCCTGCCCAACTCTGCGGACCGCGGCTCCCAGCTCCCGTCCCTCCGCCGCCGCGGCCGCCGGTCCCGCCGCTGCCCAGGAGACGGAACCGAGCGGAGCAGCGGCGGCAGCAGCGCCCCGCGCTCCCTGGGGCCCTGACGGCGACGGCGGCCCCACCTCCCGCGCCCCGCCCCCTCCCGCCGTCCTCCAGTCCCCTCCGCAGCCGCGCGCGCGTCAGCGCCCCCCGCACTGCTGCGGCCTCTGCGAGCTTCCGACTGCGCGACCCGCGGCAGGCGCCTCACTGAGCATGCCCAGAGGCTGCCCGACCAGACCCCAGCAGCGGGACTGACGCTCGGCGCGGGTGGGCAGAACCGCGATCTGGAGGATTTTAGGGGTCCTTCTCGTCTCTACCCCAGGATTGGCGTTACGACACCACAGAAGGAGTTTTGCCTTTGTTCATTTAACGCGCGCCCCAGAGCTTCCCGGGGGCGGGCTTATAGACCCCTGGGGCTTCCAGGTGAGAGGAGCTGTCAGGTGCTGGGAGAGTTCGGAGGCAGAAATGGGAGGCCACCCATTCTGTGCAAATCAACTCCCTGCAACCCCTACCCTACGTAAGAACAAGTAAAAGCAGGTAGCTCGATAGAAGACGCATCTTCAAAGTACTCTTTCAAGTTTAGCCCCAATCCCCAGTTGCTGCCTCTAAAATGCTCTTTCAAAAGAATTTTGGAACAAATTTCAGGCTGTTGGGAAAGAATAATATTTTTTTTTTAAGTGAACACGGTTATTTTTTGTTTTGTTTTGTTTTTTGTAGAAATAAGCAAGTATCTCTTTCCCCTTTCCCTCCTTCCTTCATACTTGACCTCTGGGTAGCGCCCGCCCCAAGTCCTGAGTGGATAATTAACTAGGTCAAAGGCAGAAGGAAGAGGTGGATGCACACTGGGACCTAAGGGAGGTTCTGTAAAGGGATTGTATCATCGATGCCTGTGTTTGCCGCTGGCATCTTATATGAAAACTGGACCCGACCTTACATGTAAAAATTAAGCAAGAACTAAGCAAGAAAATTTTAGGTAATATCTTAGTTATCTGGTTAAGGGAAGTGTCTTGCAAGAACCTGTACCCGCCACCAGAAACCCACACACCTGGAAGAAATGTAAAATCTGACCTGGATTTCCTATTCCCAGGGCCCCGCCCTTCAGAATTGCGCAGACTCAGTGGCTGCCTCTCTAAATCTTCCTACTCCCGCCTCCTGCAGCTGTCAAAATCCGGATTCCAGACTTCCTTAGGGCCCGGGACACAGGTCTACGCATGCTCAGCATCAACCCCGGGCGAACACAAACACGTGCTTCCAGCCTGTCGGCGCCTGCGCCGTAGCAACCCCAGTCGGTGCCCTTAGGACGCTTCGTGTGCTCTGACTCCAGCGGTCTGTGTGAGCCCATTTGTGATCCGCGTCCTGCGCATACACCTTGCGAGTGACAGAGCCATGGGTCTGACCTCCCATTCCAGCATACGAGGTGAAGTGGGGCCTGGGAGCGGGTGAGGCTGGCGGCCTGCGCACCGGTTGCAGCGCCCGCAGCTCTTGTGGTTTGTTATCGCTGTCCTACACGCCTGCAGGTCCTTTAACCTTGAGATGCAGAAGGACATGCGCTCCGCCCGGCTGCGGGCTCTGGACTGGACCAGCGAAAGGAGCGAGGTCAGGGTGTGGATGGATGGTCACTAGGCATAAGTAGCGCGGGGCCATGCAGTGTCTACGCAGCTCTGATACTTGTTTCCCTCAACTAGTCAAACCCTAACACATAGTGATCTCGCTGCTGGCTTTTCTTGTTTTCCCCCAAATTGCTTTTGTGTCCTTAAATCGCTGGGCCTAGAAAAAGGAAAGGTGAGCGGTAAAACAAACATGTTCTCCTCCTCACGTTGAAATCGACATGGAGCCAGAAAGTTAATTTCCTGCAATCCTGAAGCCGTGCATGACTAATCACATCTTAATTTTGCAGATTTTTTTTAAGGTGAAGAAACCCAATCCGAGGTCTTCTGTTTTCCCAGTTTTTTATTATGCCCCTTGCATCTGGCGTTCGGTGGCTGTAGTCCAAGAGAGAGGATTAAAAACCAAGTTCCTTGATCCTTCCTTCAGCTTCCACAGTCGTCCTTCTCTGTACTAGTACCTAACGTTTGGAAATAATAATAAAGTCCAATTAAAGTTAAGAGAATTATTTATAAAATTTGCCTAGTGTGGAGTTCACTTTATAACAATATTAATGATACTATATTTATTAATATAACACCCTCCTCATGCTACATGATATATGTGATCTCTCTTGTCCTGGTATAAAATGCAAAGTTTGGCTACCTGTAAATGTATCCAGTAAAGGTAAAGAGCTTGTCCAGAAGTAATTAAAATTGGTACAATTGATTCATTCAGTAAATTCTGAGCATTTGTAGTACCAGGTTCTGTAATAAGCCCCTACTAACTTGAACTCTAATTTTGTATTAGAGATAGTCCATAAGTTGGAGAGTTCTACTTCTTTTGACAAAATTTACTTGGAAGATAGGGGAAAAAAATCAGTGACATTTCTAAGTTAATAATAATAAAAAGGTGATTATTTGCAAAAATTATTTGAAAGGATCATCATCTGGAGGCATCTTGTACATTTAAAATATCGAGTTATATCTATGGTTTTGGTTTTTATAAAAACTTTTGTCAAGAATAAGACTTTGGATAAAATAAAATGCTCATGTGACTTATGCTGCCAATATTTTTAATTTTATAGAAAGACTGCACATGGGCCAAAAGATTCCAAAATGTGTTTTTGTTTAAAATATGGGACCATTTTGTGTAAATAGGCATTGAAATCTATTTAACTCTATTTCAGGGGCTTGTTTGTTGTGGTATTAGGGATTGAATCCAGGGCCTCATGCATGGTAGGCAAGTGATCTACATCCCAAACCCTTTATCTGTTTTTATTTTGAGATAGGTCTCTCTAAATTGTCCAGGCTAGTCAAACTTTTCATCTTCCTGCCCAGGCCTCTTGAATAACCATGACCACAATTGAACTTCATTTAGGTAGCATATTGTGGAATCCCTAGGACTTCTTAACACTATGTACAGGTTAATTTTTCCTGTAAGCAAGACAAGTGTTTTGTTTTTGTTTTTTAAGTCTTAACATAAGGGAGTTCAGGGATGAGTTTTCCATTAGTTTATCATTGAGTAAAGGATACAAATCACTTGGTGAAGCTGATTGTTAACTAAAACTTTAAGTACACAACTTCATTATGTGGAGTAACTACTTTTTATTTCACTGATAAGCATAAAGGTTGTTGTGGGGGCCCATAGGGAGAGGCCCAGAGGCTTTGTAAATCTCTCTGCCAGTACTTCCTTCTCAAATATAGTGGCTGGCAAAGTAGAAACAGAAAAGAATTTGGTTTGGAAGAATAAACATCCCTACACCCCATTAAAGTTTGTTTCTTCTCTCTCTCTCTCTCTTCTCTCTCTCCCCTCTCCTCTTTCTCCTCTTTTTTTTTTTTTTTTTTTTTTTTTGAGGTACTAGGAATCAGAGCCTCAAGTATACCAGCCCTCTACTCAATTTTCAAAACAAACCTATTAGCTTCTATAGATTTGAAGATCAATTTGATCTTTTAATTTAGGGGAAGATGATCATACCTGTTCTCAATTAAGTGAATTCATAATTATAAAAGGCTTAGAACATGGTATGTGACAATGATAACTTATATGTTGAATAAAAAGTAAAAGTATATGTATATACATTCTGAATTCTTTATATTCAGGGAAAAAGAAAAAGTAATGAGTGGGTTATAAATAAGAGTAAATGGGGATCAGGCCAGGACTGGAAGTAGGCAATGAGAATGAGTGATTGCAATTGAAATCCTGTCAAAGATCTTTGCCCATGTGATGGGTCTTCTTGTCGATTTGGTTGATGAGACCATTAATTCATTATAGTTTTTAGCACTAAGTGACATTTCCTGCCTGCTTCCCTAATCTCTTAGGATTCTTCCCTGTGCCTTCTAAATGGACCTTCCAGAACTGACCGGGCTATTTAATATCTCCAGGAGACATTGAATCCATTCTCATCCTTAACCCCTTTGCTTCTGTTGACAAGAAAAATATAATTCTTGAGGCCATTCTCTTCCCATGTCCTCCAGATACCTTAATTCTTGCCTCACTGATACTTATCACTTTTAAATCTTTAGCCCCTCATAATGGTTTTCTTCTCTTCAGCCTAATTTGCCTTCATCTTTAGAAAGAAAAAACAAAAGCAAAAAACAATTGAACTAAGTATTTTAAAGGGGCTTCTTTAACCAGACTTTCCTTTAAACCATTTATACTCACAAGTGGCTTTACCCCCAAGTTACAAAATAGAGATTTATCTGTTCACCTTCCCCTTCATTATCCATCCCAAACCCTAATCATTAGAATGCATATAACCCAAACCTTATGTAAATCTTGCCTGACTTTTGTATCCTTATATATTTTATTGAAACTAATTCATAATTTCCCACCTCATTTAACTTCACCAAATTGATTGAGTAAATTCATTAATTCATTAAAAGTAATGCTTTAAGGAATTCTTTTTTTCTGAGAAAGGATATGTAAATCATACTGAGGATAAAGCTGTAGCTCCGATAGGTTATAAACAACAAATAAATAATTAGAGGGTGGGATTTGGAGCTATGGGCAAAACAGGATTGGTCATCTGTTGATAATTGTTGGAACTTGATGAGGGTAAATGAATTTTTCTTTATCCTGCATGGTCTCTATGTATGTCCAAAATATTCCATACTAAAGGGTTTTTTGTTTGTTGGGGTTTTTTTTATTTTATTTTTTTGTTTTTTATCTGAAGAAGTAAATTCCACACTTTACTACAGTAGGTTAAAAGAAAGGCAAAGATAAGTCATTTGGTATAAGGGTAAGACATTTGGCATAGGAGTGATAAGACAGTTAAGGCCGGACAGATGAAATTGCAAATTCAAATTAGTCCATTACTTCTACTCAACTCACATTGAACTCCACCAGTACACCAAGCCTTGAGAAGAAAACATTACCAGATGCCACCTCCAATCTGTCCAAAATCTCAGAGAAGACTGGGTTTCAACACAGCTCCCTTCCCCCTCTCCTGATAGACAAGAATGTTCTGATTCTGTGGCAGTTGACAGTGGATAGGAGAAGGCAGTTTGAGGCAGAAAAGGGGCTGAAGGAAAAGAAGAAGGGTGAGATTTCCAAGTTAAAGAAAAAAATAATCCTCATGATAAAGAAAATCTGAGGAATGGATTGTAAATAAGGGTGGGGGATTCGGGGTCAAGTCTGTGTTTTCTCCATCTATGAATAATTTTGAGAGAAATCTAGAGATTATATAATAGTCCAAGGGAAGAAAGAGGGAGTTTAGAAATGTTTATGTTCTTTAATGGAAGATAATTTATTAAAAAGAATTGGGTAGAGTGGGTTCAACCTAACTATAAGAATTACTACACCATGAGAAATGTCTACAGAAAAAGCAAAATGAAGATAAGCCAGAAAAGGGGGGAAAGAATGAAATGCTGAAGATTTGGGGCTACCCAGTTCTAACCCAGAGTCTGAAAGATGCCAACTGACAAAATATTTTTAAGTATTGAGTCTTGGTAAAGACCCTTTTTGCCTCTGAGGTTATTCTTTCCCCACCTCTGCTTATACTAGGACTTGAACCCAGGAACATTCTACCACAGAGCTACATTCCCAGTCCTTTGTGTATTTTATTTTGAGGCAGGGTTTCTCTAAATGGCTCAGGCTGACCTTGAACTTGTGATCTTCTTGCTTCCACCTCTGGAGTTGCTGGTATTATAGGCAGCATGACTATTCTTAATAGGCGTATATCAAGTACTAAATGTCACTTGGGTTTTGTTATTTGTTTACTCAAGTTTTCAGTTTTTTCTCTCCCCTAATTGTTGATTTTTAAATCTACCATCATTTTTGTTTATCTCTGTCTAGCTTTTTTTTCCTTCTTTTCCCTAGAGTAGTCAGTGAAATTCAGCTTTTTGCCAGAAGAGACTGATTCAGGCCACAGTAATGAAATGATAAAATAGCAACTCTTTTGTTACTTCTGGGAACTCTTACATTTGTCCCCAGTGAGATTAGAGAATTAGAATTTGGGAAGAAAAAAAAGGGAAATAGAATTGGGGAAGAGAAAAAAGGGAAAATCTTAAGATATTATCTAGCTCTGTGATTCTAAAATACTTATTTGGAGCAAATACAAAGCTATTTTTCTAACACACATGGTACTGTGATAATTGCTTACAGCATGAGTGACCCATGATGGGGGTAGAGTATATATTTTGATTTCCCCATGGGGCAGCCACTCAGCACTCATTTATTTAAATGATACTTGCAGTATTGCCTCTTTTCTATGCCAGTTATTCTGTCATTTATTTTACCATCACAAAATCCAGGGGAGGTTAAAAAAAAATTTTTTTAAGTCACTAAATGAATTCAGTTGGTAATATGAGAAAAGAATGTTCTAACAGCTAGGAGAGATTCTTTTGACCTGTTGTGAGTTTGATGTTGAAGTTCCTATAGGATTTTTTTTTTAAATATCATTAAACTAATAACTAGCCAACTCAGGATTTTTTGCAATAGATAAGCACCATTAAAACAGGTATATCAGAAAGCACTTCCCAATTCACGTAAAAAAGTAAAATATAAGATTCACTTTTAGTGAGTTGTGTTATTTAGTCTTCTGGAATATTGACCTCTTTTAAGTTTGTACTGAAGACAACATTCAGCAAACATTACTGAGCATATCCTGTGCATAGCAATGTTTTAGTCCATTTTTAAATAGATACTTTAGCTATTCAGAGTGTCTTTCCATTAGCTAAGTAGATTACTGTAGCTCCTAACAGAGAATATTTTTTCAAGAAAGTTCCATAGTAAATAATGCATCAAAAAGGAAGATCACAGATCAAGGTAGCAATCACAGCAAAGTTGCAGCCCTGCTTGGAAATACCACAGGATAATACCATGAAATAGCACTAAAATTTCAAGAGAAATCTACAGGAAGAGTGTACTTTAAAACAACTTCTGATGAGGCCAAAGGTTTAACACTGTCAAATGACTTGTTTTCTCAGTCATGCAGCACCTGGGAAGGACAAAATGTTAGTTAATGTTTATCTTAGGGGGTTATAGCAATGAAAGAATGGAAGTGTTGTGGAAAAGAAAACAATCTAAATTACTTTGGAAAGAATACTGGGCTAGGGATGTAGCTCAGTAGTAGAGCACTTGCCTAGCATACAAGAGGCTCAAGGTTCGATCCCCAGTATTACAAAAAACAAAAAAATACTGAAGTTGAAAATAAAATCCATAGAACATGGTAATTAGAAACATTGGTTAAAAACAAAATTAGAAAAATTTGTTACAGACAAAATTATTAAGTAACTGGAAGTCCAAGATAAAAGGAATTAAGTATGGGAATGATATATTTCCTTTCCAGTTTAGAGTTAATATTGAGCTACAATTACACGTAAGACAATGTTAGGTATGGTGACTGATCACATTAGTGAAATAGGAAATATGACCACAGTAATGCAAATAAGTCATATGGTTACTAACTCCTTATGTGTTTTTATTTGGCCTTGGAATGTGTTTTTTGTACTTAATCTCCCTAGGGCTTTATTTGATAGTCTGGGAACTTATTTCAAACACTGTGAAGATGCGACTCAGGAAGTGCTGAGAAGCAGTGCACTGTGTTTTTCCTGACCCCTGTTCAACATCATCCTGCAGCCCACTCCATGCTGAGAATAGACAACTCTCATCTGAGGCTGAGACTAACCAGATTATGCAGAACTTTCTTCTCTCCATCACTGCCTGGAGCTGGGGTAGTCATTAAGCATTTGGGTTTCTAAGAATTCCTTGAAGAGCTACGCAAAGAGAATAAGTAAATGGCCTGTTAGTCAAACACATTTATTACTATTATAATTAGAAAGGAGAATAATATCATTAAATTAAAAATGGAGTTTGTGGGGAATTCAGATAATCATCCACTTGTGGTTAATAGAAATTTGAATTTATTAAATGAGACTAATTATATTAATCACATTTTATGTGAAATTTGTATGTTCTGATTTTTATTTTAATGAGAAAGCACTTTGAAACTTTGAAAAACAGACTTCTGAATGACTTTGAAACTTTAGAATTCTGCAAGATATATTCCTTTGAATGTTTAGCTTTAGGAGTGGTTTTGTTTTGTGTTCTTTTTGTGTTTTTTCTTTGAATACTGATTCTATGTGTAATTAGAATTAAGTTTTGATAAATAAAATCATTTTAAAATCACTAAGGAACTAGCTATTTAAATGAACACTAATGAGTCATTTTGCTAACATAATCACCTCCTGTTTTTTTGTTTGTTTGTTTGTTTGTAATCTAAAATTTTACTTTGCAGGTTTTGTGTTTTCTTTTAAGCAGTGTATACCTGCAGGCTCAAATTATTTAAAAATCTGTTTATGAACACTTTGAGAAAGATTAAGCCTTGTTTTTGCTTCTCTGTCTTAAAGAAGGGAAAATAACCATTGTTTCCCTCTTCTATCTTAATTTCACTTTCATCACTCAACAGAAAATATATAACTGCCTTAGACCTTTGTTGGGACTTTCCCCAGCCCCCACTATTACACCAGCATGTTCTGGTCATTTTGGTAACATTGAAAATCTTTGATTGTTGCACTCCTTAATATTCAAAAACTGAATTTCCTAAACATTTGTGAATGATTTTTAGTGTGTATTTTGGTTTGGGTAATTATTCCTCTTTTTCTTCCCTGCCCCAGTTGAATGGATTGCAGCAGTTACCATTGCTGCCGGGACGGCTGCAATTGGTTACTTAGCTTACAAGAGATTCTATGTCAAAGATCATAGCAATAAAGCAATGGTAAACCTTCACATCCAGAAAGACAATCCCAAGATAGTACATGCTTTTGACATGGAGGATCTGGGAGATAAAGCTGTGTTCTGCCGTTGCTGGAGGTCCAAAAAGGTAAGGATAATAGGTCATACAAAACTGTTATCAATGTAACATTTCTTTTTAATCTACTCTGTCAAACTTGTATTACCAGATTGTGAAGACACCCTTTTTTCTTTTTTTTTTTTAATTGCATCCTGTTCTTCTATTTTCCATATATTTACTACTAACATATGTATAACTACCATTCAGTCAAATTATACCATACCCTCAATTGAGTTCAGGTGAATGCAACCATATTCTTGACCAAATAAAAGAGAAAAATCTCTTTAATTTACTCTTAGGATTTCCTCCCCAAGTGGATCTTAGTTTCTTCTATCCCAGGAAATGGGAGTGTGCAGCTTGAGTACAACAAGAAACAAAAGAAATACTTTTTTTTTTTTTTTTTTTTTTTTAAGATTAACAGCTCTGGATACTAGGACAAGTTTTTAGAAATTTCAAAAGAAACTTTTGAAAATTACCCTATCTTATTGGCATCCTAAACCTTCTATCAGCTGTTAACTCCTTTAATTAAAAATCTAACAATACAAGATTCTTTAAAATCTTATTTATTTTATGAGAATTGTATTTCAGATTTCTTGGGGAAATATCACCTACGGTACCTTTTCAGGTTTAGATATGATGGCAGCTAGTGAGCCAGACAATAGAATCCTCTCCTGGGTTCATCTTTTTCTTGAATGACTTCAGAATTTCTGGTATATTGTTAGAAATACAGTGAAAACATCGTATGTGCTACCATTATTAGCATTCAAGTAAAATTTGTTTCACCAAAAATAATAGTAAAAGATTCAAAAAAAACTGATGTTTCTAGGGTGAGGATGTAGCTCAATATTAGAGTTCTTGCCTAGCATGCACAAAGCCATGGGTTTAACCAAGTTCTGCCAAAAAAAAAATAATTAAAAGTGTTCATTTTTGAAAGTATATTATGTTGGTGACCCTTCCCACAGTGAAGAACCATTTAATGAATCATATTATCAAAAATGTGGAAGAGGGCTGGAATTGTGGCCAGTGCTAGAGTGCTTGCCTAGGATGTGTGAGGCACTGGGTTCAATTCTCAGCACTGCATATAAATAAATAAAGTCCATTGACAGCTAAAAAAAATTTTTTTTTAAATGTGGAAGAAACTGTGAGCTTGGTTCTAAAAAGTATATTTCTCGAATCTATTTCTCCCAAATGATCTATGTACAATCCAGTGATTCAGAGCTAGATTTTGTTACTGTGTTCAGAAATTGATGAATATATGGAATATGAACCAAAAATTAACAGACCCATTACAACAAATTGTACCTTAAGAATAACACTGTATATTTAGAATAGGCTTCCTAGTAAGTACTTGTGGGGTTGCTAGAAAATAATCTCTTAATAGTATTCCATAGGCTAAACTTGGTTTATTTTTTTAAACAAACCTTGTCTATAGTAGGTGCCTCTCTTTTTGCTCATTAAAATATGAAAAATAATGCATTTCAAAATTACAGAATTTCTGTTGGTGTTGCAATAGATCTTCAGTTAATGATCTTAAATATAAGTTCATTTACTGCTTACTATATATATGTACATATATAGTAAAACAGTAGTTTTCTTGGAAGAGTATAATAAATGCAATACAAATGTTCTAAATGAGAGAAAAGAAAGAGCTTACACCATGGACTAAAATTTTCTGGGAAAGCATAATAATTTATGTTTGGGAGTTAAATTTCCCCTGAAAAGATAGGTGGTATATGAATATGCTGCAAGTATTCAGAACCCATTTTCAAAATCTTCAATAAAAGGCTCATATGAGGAAAGGGGTATTGGGTGAAAACCCTAGTCTGGTCCTTGCACGAGCCCCTCTTTCCCCCAGGGAATAAATCTAAATTGAGGAGAATCTGAGTGACAGTATGAGGAATTTGTCCTTCCAGGCATGCAGAAGTGGTAGGATACATAGTTTTCAGCAGGGATTTCAGATATAAAGTTATAATACTTACATCAGAGTGTTAGCTGTATAAGTGTGTGTCGGGGGGTGGGGGGACAAACAGTTAAACATTTTGAGGGAAATATCAGCCAAATTTAGTGACTTGTGTTTGGATGATTGGGGGAGCAAAACTAAAGGAACCAAGTGTGGGAATTAGAAAGATTATGTCATTAACAAAAATAAGGAATTCAGGTAAAAACCCGATTTTCCAGAACAGCAATAACAAGTTTAATTTCAAAGAGTGTATTTGAGGTGACAGTTGAATGGAAATGTACAGCAGATGATCTAAAATGTGGGAGTACAGCTGAGACATCAGGGTTGGAGATAGAAATCAGAAAAACTGATGAGTCAAGTGTAAGAATGTAACTGATCCTTGATACTGATAAAAATCAAAAGCTAAGTATGAAATCTTAGAGAATTTTTTGCATTTTGGAAAGAGGAACAAGAGTCAATTGAGGAGGTGAAATAGGCCAGAGGGATTACAATAAAACTAAAAATATTGTGGCTTTAAAGTGGAAATGGAAAATTCTCAAAGATTATTAGTGAACATCTGCCTATACAAAAACAAAAATAATCAGGTGAATAAACTATTGTAGTAGAACAGTTGGATTAAGCAAGTAGGCATCTGACCTTTGGTGTCATTTCAACAGAATGATTAAACACTGTGTCTAAGTAGGTTAAAATGTGAGTTACTAATAAAGAAATGCTATAAGTCTGAGTATATGTCAAAATTACAGTAAATATAAATAGTGAAGGAAAGAAAAATAAGGTAACTGCTTGAGGGAACTTTAATAAAGCATCACTTTGAGGTAAGGAGAGTTTTCCTTTGATTGGGTTGATTGGGTTTTCCCAGAGGTAAAAGTGTCCAATAAAGTAAATATGGATTTTCTTCAACTAAGATCTCAATTTTTATGACAAGAAGGATCAAGAATGGACACAAGCTAGTGGTTTAAATGTTTATTAGACTTTATAATTCAACAAAACATTCCACTATTATTCTTTCATTTTATAGAGTTCCCAGAGGGTTAGAAGAGGGACCGCCATTTCCCATGGGGAAACTTCAAGAAATGCCAGATGACTTTTTGTGTAGGGAGGTGGGGAGTCTATGGGCATTCAGTAATCCTCTTTGCATGTAGGATTTGCCAGTTACGAATTTTCACTTGAGTCTTGGGTACTTGTTATTCCTGCATGACTCAATTAAGGATTCACTTTGAATATATTCAAGTTAATGAATGTTCTTACTCTTCAGACACCTTTGGAAACTCCCCACATTTCTCAGGTTCCAAAGGTTATCACACAGCTGCCAAGTGACACATTTACTGGCTGACTAACATAAGACTTAAAATTAACACCTTTGTTGAAATGGTTGTATTGAATTATATTCATTTTTCCCTCATTCAAACCAGTTGTATTTATAAATAACAAAATCTAAGCTCCTTTTTACCAATCAAAAAATATCGTGTGATACATATATTCTTAAGATGCAATCACCCATACCTAATTGAATCAGATCTCTTACTGATGCACAGTAATTACACTGTTTAACATACTCCATTCCTTCTCTTTCCAGACTTGATATGCTGTCTGCTGTTTCAGAAACTGGCCTATTTTGTAGTATTATACAAATGGGCTATCCATATTTTAAGTAAAAATGAAATGAGCCAGTACAGAAGAGATTAAAGTAACTTTAGGGAAAGGTACTATTTGGGATAGTGGTGTCTTGAAAAGGGGTGAAAGGAAAAGAGAATAAGAGGATAAATGTGAAACTCTGCCTTATAAAAGAAGAGATGGTCTCACTTTCAAAAAGAAAATGAAAGAAGTTTGTCGTAAGAGGGAAGAGTATGCACCATAGTTTTGCTAAATTTCTGTCATCCCCCACCCCCCACATCAAGTAGTGTGTAGAATTATTTTCTTTCATTTATAACCTGGGGAGTTTGAGTTCTTAATTTTGTAGGTAGTGGTGACAGCAGGCTTCTGTTTTGGTGAAAGTGTATGTGTATGAATGAAAGAGAGAAAGCTTGCATCCTATTAATGGTTTAGTAGTGGGTTGTATTGTACTGAGTCCATTTTTTCATAGAAGCAATATTCCCAATGTTAGATCTCTTGAAAACCCAATTTTGGATTTATGGTCTTGTAAAATCTTAATTTCTCTATATTTTTTTTCATATTATATCCACTATCTTGTGTTTTATTAAATTAAGGACATAAAATGAGTAAAAAATGTCATATTGTTCTCTAAGGTAGTGTCAAAGATCTCATTACTTTTAACTTTTTTTCTCAACCAAAGTAATCATATTTCTCGGTTCAGATAATGGTAATGAGCCAAAATGACCTCAAGTAACTTCCTGGGAACATAGCATCAAAACTTCCATTAAAAATACAAAGTTTAGGGCTGGGGTATAGCTTAGTGGTAGAGTTTTTGTGTAGTAGGTACAAGGTCCTAGATTTAATCCCCAGCACCACACACAAAAAAAAATAATAATAATAAATAAAATTTGGAAGATAATGTGATAGTTTCTTTTTTTAAGTGTTTCAGATAGAAGACACAGAGAAGAGCATTTATTTCTATTTTGAAACTTCTTGAAAAAGACACAAGATGTAAGGGTCATTAAAAAAATAAATCTTGTGCCTTGTGTTTTTTATGAAGACCCTGAGAGTGTTACTGTCTTTCCAAGGAAAGAGCAAGGATCTTTGATATTTTTGTACTTATTCTTTCATTCTAACCTTTTCTCACACTCTTCTTCCCAGTTTTAAAGATTTATAGTTTTCATATTGGGTTAATAGTAGAGTATTTATTTTATGTACATCCAGGAAATTGAGGCAATTTGATTAACAAACTTTCTCTGGGTTTTGATAATAAAGAAATACTGGCATCTTACAAGAAATTTGGCAGTATGTCAACTGAATTAAAATACCCTTTGAGTTTTTTGTTTAAGTTCTTTACTTGACAGTTAAACATAATTCAGAATTTTTAATTTCAGAAGTTTAAATTTTGAACAAATTTCAAAATTTGTTTTTATTACATTGCTATTTAATACAAAAACTCTTTATGAAGATATGTTTGAAAGCATATATATATATATATATTCACTACACATTTTCTTTCTCTTGCATAGAAATATCAAGCAAGGCACTCCCTGAAAAACATAAATATTTTTATATAATTTGCCTTTTGAATTTGAATGCCAAGTAACATTCATTCACTTATACTATATTGAGAATTCTGGATTAATTTAAATATATTTTATTACCATGTATATTTTATTAAGAAATTAACGATCCTATCTTGAAATTACCCATTTTAATTCTCTATTGAAAAAAAGTTTTTAGTCTTTTCATCAACTTAAAATTAGAAATCTGCACTGAATGGGGCATGTTCTGATTTAGTGCAGTAAATTTTGGAGTCAAATGATAAAAGAAAGTACCATTAAAAGGCACCTGTAGGGCTGGGGTTGTGGCTCAGTGGCAGAACCCTTGCCTAGCATGTGTGAGGCACTGGGTTCAATTCTCAACACCACATAAAAATAAATAAAGGTCCACCAACAACTAATAAAATATTTTTTAAAAGGCATCTGTATAGGATAACATAAAGAACCAATCAAATATAAATTAATAGAAGAACAAAAGTGAATCTAGTAGAGTAGATGAAGGAGAATGGGAGAGGAAAGGGAGGACAGGAGAGAAAATGGGAGATTATGAACTGAAATCGATTTTCATGCATTTTTGTAGCCAAGCGCAGTGGTGTACTATGGATGTAGCTCAGTGGTAGAGCACTTGCCTGGCGTGCGTGAGGCCCTGGGTTCCACCCCCAATACTGGAAAAAAAAAAAGTGTTGCTAAAAAAAATTAATTTTAATACCTAGTTTACATTTCTTTTGGTACTAAGGATTGAACCCAAAGGCACTTTACAACTGTGCTCCATCCACCCTTTTTTGCTTTTCATTTTGAGTCAGGGTTTTGCTAAGTTGCTCAGCCCGGCCTCAAACTTGCGGTCCTCATGTCTCACACTCATAAGTAGCTGGGATTACAGGCATGAGCCACCACTGCCAGGCCCGAGTTTACATTTTAAAGATGTAAAAGCGTCATGTACTATAAACCTATTAAAGTATATTAACAAGTAGCGAGGATTTATTACTCCTTTTTCCCCCCACCCTTTGGCTAGGATGTTCGAACCCAGGGTAACTTTACCATTGAGCGATACCCCAGAGGTACAGCTATTTTGAGACAAGGTGTCTCCCTGAATTGACAAGGCTGGCCTTGAACTTTCAATTCTCCTGTCTCAGCCTTCTGAGCTGCTGGGATCACAGGTGTGTGCTATTGCACCCAGCCCTTCTTGCTACCTTTTAAAGAAATGTTTATTTTTTGTTTGAACATGAGGGCAGAAATAGATTATTAGAAAAAAAAAAGCATATTCAAACTTTAAATGTTGACTTTCTTAATATTTTATAACCTTTTTTTTTTCTTTTCTTTTCTTTTTTTTTTTTGGAGCTGGTGATGCATCTCTGTGCCTAGCAAACATAAGGCCCTGTTTTTGATCTCGGTGCCTCAAGGAAAAACAAGATTTTCTTTGTATATTTCTTTATAAATTACTCTTCCTATTCTTGATTCTTGTTTCTGGAGGAAGTAATATGAGAAAATAAGTTAGTTTTTGAAGAGATTAAAACAAAAATTAAGTGTGCCATTTCAATAAGTTAGTTGAGGCTTTTTATTTAGAAATGTTTCATTTTCAGAAATGTATTTTATAATCCGTGTAAATAAAACTGTACTAAAATGCTTTGTGTGCGCTGTTTATAAAAATGAAGTCTTTTACAACGTAAACTTTTATTCTTACTATAAGATGATCTGTTTATCAAACATGTCACTTTGAAATGCTGACCTCTGATATGGAATACATTTTAGTTTGCTCTTTTTTTTTTTTTTTTAAGAGAGAGAGAATTTTTTAATATTTATTTTTAGTTTTTTGACGGACACAACATCTTTGTATGTGGTGCTGAGGATCAAACCCTGGCCGCACACGTGCCAGACAAGCGCTGCTACCGCTTGAGCCACATCCCCAGCCCTTAGTTTGCTCTTTATAGCCTCTTTCCTCATCTATGCCAAGAAAAAAACTGAAATCTTGTGGGTTCATGTTTTTGTTACAAGGACTTATTTTTATTATGGACATATGCCATATCCTAGTGATCTAAAAAAAGAAATATGTAGTCTTTTCATACATTACATTTGCACTGCCATCTACGCCAAGATAGACTTATGTCTAGAAATTTTAAGATATGCTCATATCTTGAATTTTCCTATAATTTTTAATTAATTTATTGCCTGTTTTAATTATGTACCAATAGTTAAATTAAGATGGGATTTCTATAACATCAGTCAAATATTATTTTAATCTTAGAATTCAGGCTTTGGAGTATCATAGTTTGAGATTATGTGCCATCATAGGTTTCAAGTGTCAGAAATTATACTTTGTTCATTTGAGTAATGAGGTGATTGTTATTTGAAGGGCAAGGTACTGTTACTTTACTCTTCTGAATAAACTTCTTCAATGACACAGTATACCTTCTATTAAACTATGAAGCTCACAGATTCTAGAGTGTAGTTCAAAATATCAAGAAAAATAAATGCTAGCTCTCACGGTTTGATGTTAAATAGAAATAAAATGTACAAATATAAAAGGAAAGAAAGAATTTACTGATAAGTGGACCTCCTAAGTATAAAATCCTGAGGAGTCACCAGAAATGTTATTGAATTCTTATTTTTATCTTTTAACAATAGAAAGGATATGCTCACACCAAAAAAAAATTATATACAGCAAGAATATTCAGATATGAATATTTGGAAATTATATAAAGAAATATAAAATAACAACAGAAATAATCTTAGAAGAATGTGCATGGGAACTGAAAATGAAAACTACAAGAGAAATAAGGCAAAAAAAATTCTCAAGCTTATCTAGAAGAATAAATAAAACATAATAAAGTTAGCAAAGAAGAATAATGAAAGAAAACTCACCCTATCAAATACTGGAACTTATTTTAAAAGCAGTTACCTCTAAACAATGTGGTAACAAGGAACCTATAAGTAGGCATTTTTATATGATTTTATTTTGATAAAATTATGAATAAAGGTATAACAATTTGAAAAGTGACAGCCTCTAGTAATATTGAAGCAACAGGCTCTTAAACAGCATTTTGCAAAATATGCCCTACATAATTCTGTGATGATGGATATCAAAGTTAAAAATGCCCATAATCCAGGCAATTTTAGAAATTCTAGGTTAATGATAATGTTTTTTACAAAATAATTTCTTCAAAATAAAAAAAATATGCTGTGACTCAAGAGTTATATATGTGTTTTAAACAGAAGGAAACTAAATCAGAATAACTTGCAGGATTCAGCTTCTTTGGAATACTCTGGGAAGTACTATTAAAAATTTAATTTTGGGGGCTGGGGATGTGGCTCAAGCGGTAGCGTGCTCGCCTGACATGCGTGCGGCCCGGGTTCGCTCCTCAGCGCCACATACAAACAAAGATGTTGTGTCCACTAAAAAATAAATATTAATTTAAAAAAAATTTAATTTTGGGACTAGGGTTGGCTCAGCAGCAGAGCACTCACCTAGCACGTGCAAGGTGCTGGGTTCGATCCTCAGCATCACATAAAAATAAATAAATAAAGGTATTGTGTTCAACTACAACTAAGATTTAGTTTTGTTCCTTTCCCTCCCACTAGATACCAAAAAGATCAGTTACAACTAAAATGTAAAATCATGAAAACAAAATAGAAACTGGGAATTTATATATATTCATCACAACTGTAGATGCCTCTATGAACAATGGTAAAAGGGAAATAGTAGCATAGTTGTATGAAAGTAAAGAGATTAAAGGTATGAAAAACTAAACAAAAACTTGGGGGAAAGATTGCTGCAAAGATGGTCAGTAGAGATAGCATACAAATTAATTTTAAATAAATAAAATCTTATTAATAGTGCTAGGGGTATAGCTCACTGGTTGCCTAGCATGCACAAGGCTCTAGGTTTGAACCCAGCACCAAGGATGAAGAAAGAGATTAATCCTTACAAATAGGCAATGGACATAGTTCACTGGAAACTTAACTAGTATATAGACTGAAATAGGTTTGCAGCATCCATAATCAAATATCAGTGAAATTCAACTCCTGATGTGTCTTATCCCCAAGGGATTTCTTCCTCCTACTCAGTATGTGTATTTTGCATGTGCTCCTTAAAAATCCTATTTAATGTTTCAAGAAAAATCTTTTAAGTTCTGATGTGTGTGAATTAAACATCACTCCAGTTCTGCCAAGCACTATATACTGTTTGGGGATTAGCTGTTTCACATTCATTCTCTCTTTCTCTTCTAGTTCCCATTCTGTGATGGTGCTCACACAAAACATAACGAAGAGACTGGAGACAACGTGGGACCTCTGATTGTCAAGAAAAAAGAAAGTTAAACGGACAGTTTTGATGCTGCAGACCAACTTGTCATGATGTTACCTGATAATTTAATTAGAATGACTACCACTTCTGTCTAATTTACCTCCCCTGGGTTCTAGATGTGTGGTATATTGCAAACCTCACCTTTCACATTCATGGCATTTGCCTTACTTGTTGAAACATCGTGGTGCACATTTGTTTAAACAAAAAAGGAAAACCAACCTTATGGCCTGTGGGTTATTTTGGTCTTGTAAGGATCCGTTTCTTTAAATTTAAAATAATGGTATTAGACTATAGTTGTATCTTGAGGTTGGTCTATTAAATTATTCTCAAAATCATGTACATGCAGATTGTACTTGGAAGTTTCAAAGAAAATTTTATCGCCTTTTCATATTGCTTATTTGACCTAGAAAGTGAACAGGGTGTGATTAAGCTACATTAATTTCGTAGTATAGTCTTAAGAAAAACCTGTTATAACCTTGATTTTCTTCTTGACAGTGGTAATAACACTAAGAAAATACAGCTTCTGTGTTTTCAACGTTTTCAATTTAAATGAACTATGAATGTCACTCTACTTAATTATAAGTTGACCAGGTCAGTAATAAAGGGGCAGCAACTTCCTTTGTGTTTATCTTTATGGATATTTAATTGATCCATTAAAAGAACAAATAGTAGGAATTTAGATCACAGTGAGAATAGGTTAAAAGTAGTCATGAAGAATGTCTTAAAATATAATGCTCCAGAATTCTAGGCCAAGGAGTGGCAAGCACTGGAACTAAGGACGTGGAAGAAACTGAAGCACACATTTCAAGTCTCTTAATCACAAAGCCAAACATCTGTGACAGAAATAGTAGTCACAAGACTAGATCAAAGATGGGGGAAAATTTTTTATTCCTCACTCTGGATAATCAAACACATGGCTTATATTAGTAAAGATACTATTTGGGAAAGAAAAAAGAAATTTATCCTCTTAAATTGTATGATCTTTATTCTTCAAAGATTTGAAGACAAAGTGTTTATGTAATATTCTTCAAGACTCAGATCAGGGCTGGGATTGTAGGTCAGTGGTACAGTGCTTGCACAAGTGAGGCACTAGATTCAATCTTCAGCACCCCATAAAAATAAATAAATAAAAGGTATTGTGTCCATCTGCAACTTAAAAAAAAGACTCAGACCAAAAGTATTTCATTCACTGCCAATTAAAAAAAAAAAAAAATATATATATATATATATATATACACACATACACACACACATATACTAGAAGCAATGGAATAATTAAGAAATAGCTTTTTATGTGTGTATTTTTTTTCCCCTTGGCACTGGGGATTACACCCAGGGGCACCTTACTGGTAATCACATCCCCAGCCCCTTTTTGTTTGAGATGGTCTCACTAAATTGCCTAGGCTGCCTTCAAATGTGAAATCCTCTTACCTTAGCCTCCCGAGTCGCTGGGATTATAGACAGCACCACTACGCTTGGACATATATAAAATCTAGGCTGTGTATGTGTGGCTTTGATTTGGGGATCTTATAGGTTAGAAGGGAAAGTCATGATACAATTTGGGGCACACAATTTGAAATGGTAAAACAGTCATTTGTCCATTTGAATTCTCAGTTAACTATCAGTCACAAGTTTCTATGTGCTAAAATTCAGGTACCTTAGAAGTCACAGGAATCAATGAAACCAGACAGCACTCCTAAAGGTTAGGTTTGGGGTAGAAGGTTGTTTTTTATGGTGCTGGGGGTAGAACCCAAGGCTTTGTGCCTGCAAGGCATGCAAGCATTCTACCACTGAACTACGTCCCCAGCCTCTGATTCTAACATTTTTTAAATGTATAATTTAACGTACTACAGTACATAAAGGTTGATGTCATAATTATGTGCATTTGCCTCTGTGACTGACCTGGACATGTCTTCAGGACACATCTCCAAGCAAAATCTAAAATCTACCCTGATTATATCAGATTCTTAGGGTAAAATTTTTTCCATGCCCATACTCCTTTTTTAAAATAAGTATGAATGGGTCAGCAAAAGAGATCATCATGCTTTTAAAACGTAATTGTTTTAAAGAAAAATCCATAACACTCAGTTTCTGATAAAGGGACATCCTTTTAATGGGAATAAACTATATTCTTCATTTTGAATTTGAAACTGTTATGCTTTTTTATAGTTGGGGCTAGTAACAATTTCAGAACTATAAGTGTATATATGTATGTGATGAAATTGGAGATGACCTACCGTACTATGAAATACAAATATTGAACATTTTGATAATTCAAGATAATTAGGTAAATGTAGTTTCCAAGTCCTGTTAAAATTTTATCACAGGCTTTTGAACTAATTCATTTATAACAATAAAACATTCTCCTGTTAATTATAAAAATAAAGTGTTTATGGTTAGGTTAATGCAAGATTCTTTACATACACACAAAATTGTGTGCAGTTACTGATCTAGTTAAAGCACCTTAGAGCTTCAAAGTGCCTTTTCATTTATCAGGTAATTGGAGTGCCTATCTTTTTTCTCAATATAATTTATGTCTTAGGGATTTCTGTTAGATCTGTTAGGTTGAGAGGGTTTTAATGTAAAGAATCTTGTTTTGCAGTGATCTTGATGGACATCTATTCTTGCAACAGACATGTATTAGACTAAGGACCATATAATGGAGAATGAAGCATTTTAGAGAATTAGTAGCTCATAGTTTGGATTATATAATTTATGACATAGATTATATAATTATAGCAATTCTAATTCAGGATTATTTTTCTTGATAAATTATGACAAGTACCACCAAATATACTAAACAGTTCTAAGTAGGTGGGATTACCTGATTTGATATTTTTTGGGCTGGGGATATAGCTCAGTTGGTAGAGTGCTTGCCTCACATGCACAAGGCCCTAGGTTCAATCCCCAGCACCAAAA